AAAGGAAAGAAAAAAGAGCAGAAAGGGAGACAGAAGTTAGAACTGGTGAAACTGTTCTTCAGTAGTACAGAGGCAGTCTTGGAGACAGCTGTGAGAATGAGATGCTAGGTCGGAGATGCTATGACAGGGAAAGTATTTCCACTCACTTATCACTGTTGGCTATCTTGCGGAACTCTCGAACAGTCATGGCTTTCTTCTGTATGTTGTACTGAGTAAAGAGGCCAGACTGCCCCGTCACCAGCTGCTGGATGGGTGCAGGAATGACCAGGTCATCAATATCATCATAGGATGCTCGTGGCTTCCACTCTTTTGGAGGTACAACCTACAGAGAACACAAGAATAAACAGAAAAGGCTGGGGATTTAGCTCAGTGGTTCTGCTGCCTGCATCACAAGCGCAAGGTCCAGAGTTCAATCCCTGGTACCAAAAAAAGCAAAACAGCAACTTTGTGTGTTAATTTACAATACACATTCCACACGTGACAATACTATATAAATGAGAAGAGGAAAAGGAGCTAATAGCACTGATGGTCTTACGGAGAGGATACTGCAAAAGGTAGATGAAGATTAGCCTTTATAAAGCTTTTATAATAACAGGATTTTTTGTGCAATTTTTAATCTAATACAGTATAAACAAAAAGTGCTGAAAAGCTGCACTGCAGCTCTTGCAGGTCCTCCCTGCTAGGGAACCCAGCAGCAGCCCTATCTGCATAGAAGACTAAAGTCAGTCCTTAGCCTCAGTATTCCAAGACAGCTCCTCAGTTTTGTAATCAATGTCCCTGCTTTCTTCTTTCATATTGAAAAAGTGACACATACTAATGCAGAATAGTTTCTTCCAGGCAGACTGAGTCCCTTAACTTTCAGTTTCTAGAAGATCCTTTCAGAAAAGCAATCACTGGGCCAGGGATGTAGTTCAGCAGCTCCTGGCTGGCAAGTGTGAGGTCCTTAGTTAGATCCCCAGTACCAAAAAAAAAAAAAGAAATGCAAACATTCAATTCAACTCAACTCTTTAGGGATTCAGAACTTGACTGTAACAAAATATAGGAAAGATTGATTTGGCTCATAAAAAAAAAAATAACTTCAACTCATACGAAAAAAAAAGTAGTACAGGGCTGGGGATTTAGCTCAGTGGTGCTGTGCCTGCCTCCAAAGTGCAAGGTACTGATCTCCAGGACTGGGAAAAAAAAAAAAAATGAAAAAAGTAGTACCGGGGATTTAGCTCAGTGGCACTGTGCCTGCCAGGCAAGCTCAAGGTCCTGTGATAGA